TTCTTTCCTTTCATATTGTTATGCGGTCTATAGGCCAGATTCGATGTGCGTCAGTGGTATAATCTATTCCATCCTCTATATCAGTGCGAATACCATAAACGGCGGTGGTCTCTCGGTATGCTCTTCCTGTCCTGACGATTTTTATGGTAGGAAAGCCGAGCAAAGGTAGAAAACTAGCAGTCCAGGAAGGTGCTTATTGGTTTGGAGTTAAGGATGACGTCTGAGACGTTTCCAGGTCTCTGAGAAAAACGAAAGGTATTCCAGTATTCGTGCCTCAGAATACTGAAGTCGTGATTTCGCTCAAACTACTCAGACACTGGGACCGGCTGAGCCGCGGCCTCAAAAGGCCTTTCCGGCCCGTCCGCGGCCTTAATTTGGGGGCGTGGCCGAAGACCGGCCCAGCCGCGGACCTTAATTCATGTCGATATGATTGCACCGGCTGATCCGCGGACTGAATATGGCTTACCGGCCCAGCCGCGGGCCGAATATGGCTTACCGGCCCAGCCGCGGACCTTAATTCATGTCGATATGATTGCACCGGCTGAGCCGCGGACCAAAATCTCTATTACGAAACACCGGCTGAGCCGCGGCCCATTTTCGGCTCGGCCGGTCCTAGTATCTGAGCGTAAAGAACACTTGCGTGATGTACGACGCATGGTCAGGCTGCCCTCAGTGTCCATAGCCTCCGTTGTCTTTCCAGTCTCCAAGGCAGGAACAAGACCAATATGTTGTACAACACCTGAATATGTTGTACAACACCTGGATAGCACTTTGTGTTGTCCAATCTTGAAGCCGGACATGGCCTCCGAAGCGGCCATGTCTGTGGCCCCGATTTTGTTTTTCACAGCGTATATTTTACGTGCCAGTGAATAAAAAAACAGTCGTTTTGTATCCGAGCTAGAATGAACTAGATGGCCTGACAACCAGCTCCGGCTGAGCCGCGGCCGTTTTCCGGCTGAGCCGAGGCCGTTTCTCGGCTGAGCCGCGGACCATTCACCGGCTGGTCCGCGGACGCTGCGAAATTCCAGCCGGAAATGGGCCGCGGCTCGGCCGGTCCCAGTGTCTGAGTAGGTTGAGGCCATATGACTTGCTGATTACGACTATACTGCTTTCCCGCTGCAGTAACGCCTTATCATGGTATGACGGTTTGCGTATTCACGAAAAGGCTCTAACATGCAAAATGAGACAATATTCGAAATAATGCCCCCCCCCCTCTCCCCACATAATGTTTCAGGCTGTATGACTTTGACTCCCACCATACTGTCGCTACGTGAAAAGGTCTCAAGACGCAAAGAGGGTACGATTCGCCAGCATATCGGATAACCGCACGGGCTTTCTCAGCGAAACCTGTGAATTTGGCCGTCTACCATATACCCATAGAAACTTAAGAAATAGCGCTACCATGGCAATTATTTGATACTAGCTGGCTTACCCGGCTCCGCCGTATCCGGACCAAACTTGGCACACATACACTTCGGGCCCCGGCGCGTGTCACAGTCCACTTTTCGTTATCGATCGATGTCGATTTTACCGATTTTTATCGATTTTTTCGCAGAGTTCACCTACAGGGCTAGGAGTTGGCACAGGGGGGAAGTGAGCATGGGGATTCCGAATACAATATTAGTTTTCAGAATTATCGGTTACTTTTATTGATTTTATCGATTTTTTGTAAATTTTGACATGCGAGGCTGGGATTTTGCACAGGGGGGTAATCGAGCATGCAGATTACGAATACAATATTAGTTTTTGGAATTATCCATTACTTCTATCGATTTTATCGATTTTGCAAAATTTGAGCTAGGGGGCTGGAATTTGGCACAGGGGTGTAATCGAGCATGCTGATCACCCCCTTGGGGGTCCCCCAACTCCCAGCCCCCTAGCTCAAACTTTGCAAAAAGATCGATAAAATCGATAAAAGTAATCGATAATTCCGAAAACCAATATTGTATTCGGAATCCCCATGCTCGATTACCCCCCTGTGCGAACTCCCAGCCCCGTAGCTCAAACTTTGCAAAAAAAAATCGATAAAATCGATAAAAGTAATCGATAATCCTGAAAACCAATATTGTATTCGGAATCCCCATGCTCGATTACCCCCCTGTGCCAACTCCCAGCCCCGTAGCTCAAACTTTGCAAAAAATCGATAAAATCGATAAAAGTAATCGATAATCCTGAAAACCAATATCGTATTCGGAATCCCCATGCTCGATTACCCAAAAAATCGATAAAAATCGATAAAATCGATAAAAGTAATCGATAATCCTGAAAACCAATATTGTATTCGGAATCCCCATGCTCGATTACCCCCCTGTGCCAACT